TGTCCTGATATATCTAGACATATAGATATATCTATATAGATATATCTATATATAGATATACCTGTCCTGATATATATATATATATATATATATATATATATATATATATATATATATATATATATATATATATATATATATATATAAATGCAAATTTATATTTTATGTGTTCTTCAAAATTGTGTATGGCATTTGTGACAGGTTTATTAAAATTTGTTGTTCTAATACAGTCAGTTGATCTGGACATTACAATCTATTTTTATCATCCTCTTCATCAATAACTTCACTTAAAGTTGCTGTGTTTAAAAATAAGTACTGCATTTGAAAGCAATTTTATTATAACATTTTGCAAATACAGTCTTGATTGACAAAATCCATGACACAAAAAAGATAATATTAAAATAATAGCTTTTTGAGTTAAAAAAAAAACACTTCCAATTAGTTATATTAAAATCAAGTTGTGCTTATTTTGTTATGTATTTTTATGGACTTTACTTTGTACATCCACATCAACATTAAAAACACTCAAAAAGAAATGTGTACAATACCATGTTTAAAGTTTTTAAGACTTTAGGTCATATTTACTGAACAAAATCTACAAACAATTCTGTTCTAAATTTCAAGACTTAATACAGGCACAATACCTGCCTGATGCAGTGACTCAATCAGCCTCACTTAGTCTTTAACAGAACTTGACAAAAATGTGTCAGTAAACAGCCCAACATAAGCTTACATATATTACAACCATAACATTCATTTCAGTGAATGGCCGAAAACAATATTACACAGAGAACTTCGTAAAATGGTCAAACTGCAGTAAAAAAAAAGAAAAGAAATTAATACTTTGTAATACAAAAAAGAAAAAGTAACATCATGGAAGGACTTGTTCGCTGTCTGAAGGAAGTGGCACTTGGTGGACAGCAACATGAGAGGATNGTAAAATGGTCAAACTGCAGTAAAAAAAAAAGAAAAGAAATTAATACTTTGTAATACAAAAAAGAAAAGGCAACATCATGGAAGGACTTGTTCGCTGTCTGAAGGAAGTGGCACTTGGGGGACAGCAACATGAGAGGATTTACTTGCAGGTTCCCAGGTATCATCCCAGATTTTTCCGCTAGAAAAGAACAACAATAAAATCAGGATGTGGATTTTTTGTGCTGTAAGGTTCACAAATCTCTCTAAGATGTATACCTGACTTTAAAAGGAGGTAATGTAGCCAAAATATTTTCTATGCCTACATCCACCCAAATGCCAGCTAGTACTTACATCTTGTTTTGTCCTAAATACACAATATTATCTTGACTTATTAAGTGTTAAATGATAAACTGACTGCAGTCATTTTTACCACTACACAAACAATGAAAATCTCTCATAGTGCTTCAGTTTCTTAGAAAAGTCTAAAAATCAAAACAGAAAAAAAGTGACAGTTTCAGATTAAATGTGTGGCTTATATTAATTATAAAAGGCACAGTGTTAAATAATAAGTGTTGAATCACTTTTAAAAAGTCCAAACATCAAAATCAGCATTCCTTTGCTGATAAACGGCCTAATTACGATATTTGGAGTTCTATCTCTATATTTCTATGTTTCTGTGCAAATGCTGACTTTTTGTATGAATTTGTTTCACCCAAAGATGTTGTGACTTATGTGGTATAAGTATTACTGATTCATGTTGTAATGCCCGTTTTTGTCCTCATAAAAAAATAAAGACAAATAAAGAAAGGAGTCTGGTAGGTCAGTAATTAAAGCCACAAAGTTTATAAGTAAACAACTGTGCTTATTTTTTGCAGACCACTGCCTCCCTTATCACCCCTCCCCCCATCTACTCATCTCCACACGTGGCAATGTCTCTCAGTGTATCTTGGCATGTTTGACTGGGGTGGGGATGTACTGTCACAGGGTGGATTAGTTAAACTTTTAGACTTACCGCATTAGTTCTACGCCCAGGGATTGATTTTGGGTACTACATTTCCACCAACCTAAATAACAAGAAAAGGAAAAAAAAAAACAATTTTAAAAACAAAATAAGA